TTAATGACTCCCGATCTCAGCTCGAGCCACCATTCACTTGGGAGATGTTGCGGTGACCGGTCGTCAGGGGGATTGCACAAAGGAGGGAAGACTGGAGAAGCGGTGCAGAGGTCCGAGAGGGTGTTTAGGGGTAGAGGGCGGCTCAGGAAAACAGAAAGTGTTATGACAACTTGCAGAAAGGGGTAAAAAGGGTTTAGGATGAGATTTGTCTCCAGCCATTGTTAGTAGACACATGGAAGAAAGTGGAAAGTGTTTTTCAGTCTTCTTCAAGCTCAGCTGATTCCTGTAGCATGCCAGTGCCTGCAACCTGGAAGCAGCGAAGCGGATTTTTTTTTTTCTGCTTTTCAGACCTCTGAGTCAGTATTCCAGAAACACTGTTGCTTGTGTAGAGTACCTAAATTTTTCAGAAGCTACCTCGAATTGATGCTCAGGCAGACTGCTCCGAGGCCAGCCCAAGCAAAGCTGTGTACACAGTGCTGGAGGGTGGCGGGCGCTCTAGGTAAGTGATCTTGATAGGTACATTCTGATTGATGGGGGAGTTTGTCTCCCAAACTGTCACAGGGTTTATAGAGGTGCCACTCAATACCAGTGCTGGAATTGCTTGTCAGAGCACCTGGCTACAAGAGCAATGGGGATTGGAGACAGAGCTGTAACTTTGTTTTTTCTCTGCTTAATGGCCCTGGCGTCTGACCTGCCTGCTCACTCCTGTTTGTCTGGACCTTAAGGAGGCAGCTGGGATTAAGACTGTCAGAGAATTGTGCTGCTTTAGCATCAGGAGGCTAATTGTATCGGGACTGGCAGTGTATGACAAGCGGTTGCCTCCTATCAGATACGTGGCAAGAGCGAAAAAATGCTTGAACAAGGAAAGGGAAAGATACAGGAGCATCTGCAATTTGGTTTGTTCTTTTTTCATTGGAAAGCAGCAGTTTCAAAATCACACGTGGAATTACATTCCTCAGGCCTTCTGTAACTCTCCTTGTAAGAGTGCAGCTGCGTCCGTGAATAACAGATCACGTCTCTTGTGAATTCCTAGGTCAAACTCACAACTTCGCATTCAGTTGTTGGATTTCACTTTATTGACACGTTGGGATATATTCTGGTCCTGAGCACTGACCTCTGGATAGCAGGACTGGCTTTAGAGGTCCCCTCTAGGCAGTGTTGCTCGTGGCCGTGAATTACTGTGTGACCTTCAGAAGCCGAGCCCTGCTGGGGGAACCCTTCTCCATTCCCAGTGCGTGCTATTGAATTGCACATCACCTGATCGTGATGGTAAGGGTTCTTCTGGATGCTCCTGGTTCTCTTCTAGTAGGTCTGAAACGATGCTGTTGCAAAGGCCTTTTTATTCTGCTCAATGCCCTCCGAGTTCCATTTCACTTTTTCCTCTCTCCTGGACACGTGGTGTAGGATGCTGGCAGGAGCTGGAGGTTGTGAGCCCTCTTTACACTTGGGCTGAGTTAGTGAGAAGCAGGTGTGATCTTACCTTGCATTTAGTGGTCCTCTTAATCCATTTATAACAGCACTTGTCCAGAAATCTGGTTTGAATGAGCCTGAGATGAATGAATAATGTCAAGCAGTTCAGACGTCAAATATTTGAACAGCTGCGTGGGTGTTTTCACTGGCTTTGTGCATGGAAGCAACCCCAGGAAGTTAGACGAGGAGGGTCGGGTCGAAATTGTGGCACCAGACCCCAGCCCACTGGAATTTGCCTCAAAATCCGTCCCAGCTGCAGATGAAAGGGCATAAGGATGCCGGTTGCAGGCCATTCGCTCCGCAGGTGATGCCGGACCAAGCTTTGCATCCTGTCCATTGTTCTTCTGCGTGCAGTGGCAGTACTGGGATTAATGAATCTTCTGATTCATACTGGAAACGTATTTTGTGGGTTTTGGTTTTTTACAGGAGTCTCAGAAGTCCTAAAACTGGTAGCATAGCTTGTATTCAGATTCTTTTCTGGAGGCTACTTTGTTTAGCATGCAGTTTCTGAATCAGTTGGGGTTTTTTTACCGTGTTGCAATGGTCTGCAGCTAGTCAAAAAAAAAAAAGCCAACCCAAAATCCATATTTGGTGAAAATCTTGAGAGTTGAATCACTTTATTGTAGCTTCTGTTGGACTCTGGCCTGAAAGTCCTTGTTTGATCAGAAAAGAAAATTTGCCCTTCTGCCCCTCATCTTAACTTACAAACTTTTCTGCTGTACCCTCCTCTCCAACTGCAATGCTCCAGTGGATCCTCCCAGTGTCATCCTAACATGTACTGCCCAAAACCTTCCCCTGTACCCAGCCTGTGTAGGGAGGGTTGGCAATGCAGCAGCTCCTAGTATAGAGCCAGATGCAGCAAAAGCTCTGGAGTGTTTTACTTTCAGACTTAGAAGGGATTTTCTTAAGTACAAAGGTTTTGAGAGCAAGGACACAGGGATTCTGAAGTCAGAGTGCCTCAATATTTGTAAATTGTATTCCTGTAACCAGATCTTCTTTTCTTAAGCTCTAACCATAAAGCACTAGTTGGCTTGAGTCACTCGGAAACAAAATTGATGGTAAGATGTGTGTGTGTGCTGTGTGCATGGCATCCTTGCAGAGAGAGAGGAAGACAAGGAGCAGTCCCATTTACATCCACTCTTTTGGACATCTTCTCCTGACCACCCACCCCCAAGGCACTTGCTCCATGTAGTCGTCGTCTGGCTGATGTTCAGATCGCCTCTGGGACTGGCCAAGTCACAGCTCCAGCTTTGCATGATTTGTGTTTCCCACAGCTACAAGAAAAATGAAGACCTGTATGTCCAAAGTTTATGGCCTTTGAGGAGTGATGGGCTAAAGTAATGCCAGGTGCAGGGGGTGCTGTTACTGCGGGTTAAATGCCGTGCCTGTAAATTACCACCCCATCGCTAAGGCAGCTTTGAAAGACTACCCAGGTTCTTCGACAGGTCTCTCTTCCACCTCTAAATCTTCTCCCAAATGTTGTGATGGACTGAAGGAGGCAGGATTTACTAGATGAGCCGTCGCAGCAAGAGAAGGCAGCTCGTGGCACGTGCTGGCTGGCAGCGTGCAGCCCGTATCTGCGACGCTTCCCAAGGGCTCTGCTGGAAGAGGGCTGCCCCACCGAGCTCACCTGTGAGCAGGGCTCCTGCGGTACCCAGAGCGGGCGGCGGATGCTGTGTCGTCGCTGCAAGTTGTGTTACCTCCTCTAAAAATTAAGGCTGGCAATTACTTAGAAGTAAAAGGTAGTTTATGCTCCTAGGGAAAGGTTAGTCTTAAAATCATCGTCGTGCTGTGGTTATCACCCGTTAAGGACCTTCTTTATATTCAGGGAAGAGAAATATCAAATCCATATAAACAAATTTTATTGGAGGCTTAATGAATCAGTGAGAGCATCCATTCCTGGAGAGCGACAATAAAGAACTGTGTCTGCGTGGTGTCCTTGGAAATGAGACCTTTGCCTTGCCCTGCTCTCTGCACGGATACAAACTGTTAGAAATACAGCTTGCTCTGTGCTGGGAAAGAGCAAGTCTGCTGCTGACAGCACAAGCTTGTGTGACCCTGCTGCCTGAGAGCCTGGTGGAACAGGCAGACTCAGACATCTGTAGTGCTGAAAGAGCTACCCTAACGTTTGGAAATGTCCTCATTCTTCAGATGTGCACCGTACATTCAGTGCCGCTACATTAATTTTAGCCTGTCTTCTGCATTTAGAACCAGTGCGGAAATGTACCCCTTTGGGGGCATTTGTGCAAAGCCAAGGCTACATCTGCCTTACTGTCTGTGTGTGCACATGGGACGTGCTTGCTGGTTTAGCCACAGCCTTAGGTCACCAACCAGGTCCTTCAAGCTGCAGCAGGTACCCTCTGTCTGTGAGCTGGCTGTCCAAGTCTGCTGTCTGGAAGGAGTGTACTGGTGGGAGCCAGAGAGACCAAATTTCTACCTGTGTAGCTTATGTCCCCAAACAGCTTAGATCTGTAGAACTGAACATGAATGAGGACCTTGCACTAGTGAATGAGGACCTTGCACTACACTTGGATTCGGAAGATCTGAAGATCTTTTCTCAATTTCCAGTCTCATGGGAGAGAGCATAGCAAGTGATAGATCTCAGAGAGAGTAAATACATGTCGTTCTTAGTTTCCCTTCTGTTAGTAAACCTTGGGAAGCAAATACCACATGAAGGTTTGTCTTTGGAAGTGTTTGCACACAGATTCAATTAAAAGAAGCCTGGTTAGAATCAGCAATAACGCAGTCAACAAAATGCTTGAGATCCAGAATAAGTGTGTGTATTGTTAGGAAGTGACAATTATTACACAGTTGCTTCCTGCTGGAGCTGGGACTGGGCTCCTGCCTGATCCACCTGTATTGGAAGTGCAGGACTCCTGTTAACTTGCAGTGGAATTTGCTCATGTAAGAAGTGCTTGTACGGAGCTGCTAACGACTGTGAAGTCTGATTTTTTTTTTTTTTTCCCCCTCCTAGAAACAGGTTTGCTGTTCTTAACTGTTTTATACTGTAAAAATGTGTGCCGTGACTGAATGCATTTAAAAAAGCAAAAGGTATTTTGAACTGTATTTTAGCTTCTGCCTGCCCTCTGCATCTGAATTAAGGACTAATTCAGAATATCCTTGTGGCCTTCTCTTACTTCCTAGCTGTGTACTTTTTGTGTTAACCTCTTCTATGAAAAATCAGTCTACTCTACGTTGCTTCATTTTTTTCCTGCCTTTGAGAGAAGGTTCATTCCAGTGTCTTCAACTTTAAAATAAATCGTGTGGAAAGCAAGAGCTCAAGAGTGTTCTGTTTTCAATATTGAGGTGCATTTTAGAGCATAAAATCCAGGGAGTTAGAGCATTTCTGTGAATGTTTTCTGAGCAGTCTTCTGAAAATTGGTCTTATGCAGTCTTTGGAGATGGAACCTTTTGTGAGGCTATTAAAGAGCAAAGGACAGCCTGCAGAGACATGTTGCACCATCCTTAGGAGATCTCCTACACGTCATTTCCAATTCACATGCTCATCCGCGTGTTTTATTTTCTTCCAGGTTCTGGGTTTATCATGTGCAGCGGCAAGGAGAATCCAGACAGTGACGCTGACCTGGATGTGGATGGAGACGACACACTTGAATACGGGAAACCACAGTATCGTTTTTGAAAGGCTCTTACTGAGAGGGAACCCAGAAGTGCATCTTCAGATGGCTTTCATATAGCACTGCCCTGGGTAGTGGTGGATAATCTGTGCCCAGCCCTACTGGAAATGGCACCGCCTTCTCCAGTTACTGTGTTAGTTGAACTAGGAGGGATTCTCCATCTGGGAGCCAGGCTCTTTCTAGGAGAGCTGTGGGCTCTGCCACAGCTGTAATAGCCATCAAGGAGGAATTCCTGCGAGGATGTTAGGCGGATATTGACTTAGATGTGATGAGGGGGAATGTATAACTATAGAACTAGATGTTATTGAAATCTCTACCAGCCTTTAAGACTGAAGCCCCTACCCTTAGCCTCTTTTGAAGTGCTCCCAGGTGGAACGAATTTGTTCTGTATCCCGTGTGGTGTCCTAACCATCTCAAAAGCCTTTTCACCATCTGCAGCAAGGCTGTATGTTCCTTAGCGCCTTGTGTTCAGGTACACAGAGGCAGACGTTATCCCTTGCACTGGGGAAGAGCCAGGTGAAGCCAAAGAGAGGGAGGCGCTCCGAGGTGCTGTTTTAAAGTAAGTATCATTCCTTTCTAATTTACTTTCATCCCTTTGGGGGAATCTCGGTTTGTGGAAAACACCCATTCACTTGAGCCCAAGGGTTGCAGTGAGAGAGACTTAGAAAGAAGCATGAGTGGGTCTGAAATTCTGAAATTCATAAAGTCTCCCTGCACACTCATTCTCCTTTAACCGCCCGACTGCCTGGACAGTGCTGTCTTCTCCCTGGACAGCACCGGACAGCAAGTGAATTCTGGCATTGCCAAACTGTTCTGTACTAAGGCCTTATGCATCATCTTGCTTCACAATGAAGTGTGGCCTCTTAGGAGTAGTAGTATAACCTGGTGCCATCTGAATCTTACTCAGCACAGGACTCTGGCACCCAGGGTATGACTTCATTGCATCACGTTATGTGCTGTGGAGCATTCATACTAGTCCTTCTGTGTTTCGCTCTGGGGTTGGGGCAGGTCAGGGCAGGGTGTGTTCTCTGCCCACATCCGTACGTGGAGAATGTAGGCAGCCAGCGTTCAAGGCACTTGGGGAAGCATTTCAGGCAAATAAAATGAGTCTTAACAGGGAGCTAGGATTGCTTTCTAAGCCCTCTGCCCTGCATAAAACAGGGTTTAAATTACCCCTCTATCTCTTTCACTGAGGGATCCTGTGAGGTCAAGGTTGAAGTGATTGATAGAGCAGTGAAATGAAGTTTTCTTACTGCTTAGCCTGTCACAAACACTAGTTCAAAATTAGGTTCCACTCCATAGAAAATTGGCATTTGCCACACTGGATCCAAACCATTGGTCCGTTCGATACTTGGCTATCCGTGCTGGTCCGCAGGCAGGGCCTCAAAGATGCTGAAGCTCTTTCACAGCCCGGGCAGTGGTTTTGTAGCAGGAGGATATCAGTGGCTGTGGACACTTGGTAAGACGACTCAAGACGTGAAGCCAGTTCCTTCGTGTGACGTGGCACATTGTTTTGCAGTTTGGGCAGGGTCCTTGCATGTCTCCTGGACTTGTTTTCCCATCCGTAAAACAGGAGAGATGATGTTCCTTGTCAAAGGGCTTGGAAATTCTGGCAAGTTTCTGTGGAAATGCAGTGGGGTAGCTGATGCCTGGAAACATGAGCCTGTGTAACTTTTTGAGTGCAATTGTAATAGCTCATAGATCAAAAATGTCGTACAGTCACAGGCATGCAGCCTGCTCAGAAGATTCCGTTCTCTTACGGTCTCTTACTGGCTCGCGAGAGAATGGACAGGATTAGGAGTTGTCTGTCCTTCAGTGCTGCTGCACTTCAAATGGGAAGATGGAAAAGGTAGGGTTTATGAGGTGTAAAGTTACTCTTAAAAGGAGAAGCTGTTGCAACACAGAGGATTTCTGTTCCCAAGTAAGGTTTTCGTCTTTGAAACCGTGTATTCAAAAACGAGCCGTAGGTCATGGGTGCTGTTTGAATCACAAGCTTTCACTCAGCACCACAACTCCCGTGTGACTGAGCAGAGGTCACAGCTAGAAGTGCAGGCTGGGGGAACACTGATGGAAATGTGGACTAGCACAAAAGCACCTCCTGCAGCAGGCCAGCTGCACACATTTGGAGCCTAGGCTGATGGACCGGAGTATTGAGAGAGAAGTGACGGGTGGAAGATGCCGTTTTTCCTGAGCAGCAAAGTTTTCCATGGTCAACCTTTAGCATTCTGCCCTTTTCTCTTTTAGCGGTGGCACACCCAGTACTCGAATAACACCGGAGTTTTCTAAATGGGCCAGTGATGGTGAGTGTTGAACTTGCAAATTATTAATTTGTATGCTACAGGAGGGCGGATAGATATTCCATATCTTCTGATTGCCAGTAATTAGACAAAGGGGAGTTACAAATGCTCTTGCACAGTCCCAGCAGGTATGTATGCACATAGCGCTATCTTTTGGGGACTTTACAGCACAATTAACTGTAATCAGTGGCGGTCAGGGGAAGTTCCCAAACGTGCAACCTTAACTGATATGGTGATAAGAGATAGGGGTTGGATTGACTTAATGTTGTGTCACTAAAAAACAAACAGCTGTCACAGAGGGAGCCACCTGAGTTTGGCTGTGTCGTGGTGGTCTTCACCTGGTGGGGATTTAAACTACACAGACGCCTGTTACTTGGATTTTTCTCAACTGCTTTCTTACCATCTTCCCTGCTTTAAAAGGGTGTGCTAGAGACTTGTATCGTGATCTGTTGGGTAGATCTTGTCCTTGCTGGCATCTGTATGACAAGAAAAGCCTGCAGCTCTGAAACCTGCACATGTAGAGTGGAAACTCTAGGATCTCTCCTACTTCATCACCTGTAGTGGGGACTCCAGAGTAAACAAGTGAATGTGAAATTGTACCTTTGCATGCATTAGCTCGTAGCACTAAGCGGGGTGTGGGCGTTAAACCTATTTGACTGCTCGATTTTTTTTATTTAATGCCAGCAGCACTGGAAGTGTAAGCAGCAGCAACATAGTGGAAATATGAGAATAATAAAACCTGGCGCTTTCCAGCTGTAGATGCCAAATCCATTTCTAGAGCTGGGCAGTGCTTCTCCAGTTCCCTTAGGAAGGGAGCTGAAGCTCAGCGACCTGAACAGACTTGTCCCAATGATTTTATTCCCTGTTCTGTTACTGTAATGCTTTGGGCATTTGATTCCCAGCCTTGAAAGTACCTACAAGACATAACTGCTTGCCAGTGGGAGGGGGGTTGAGTAGGACCGATTTTGCCAAGGGCATGGTGATTAAATGGAGAACATAGGATATCTATCGCAGGCATTTTCTTCTGTGGGACAGGCAATCACATTTATTTTCTCTGATGTAGGAGCACTTGCTTGTAGGTATTTTCAGCTTCAGTAACTACAGCCACAGAGGTGATGAGGAAGCAGCCCTGATAGTACTTGCTATGAGCTGTTTCTTTCCTACCTTTTACCTGAAGCTGAACCTACAGCCCAGGGGCTGGCCCCAGGACAGTTCATCTGGCTCATCTCCAACTGGTATCTTACACACTCTCCAGTGCTGGGACAAGCTACGGGCCTGATGGTACTAGGAGAGCTCTGAGCAGACTGTTCTGTCATACTTGTTACCTGGCATATATTTTTCTGCCTGTCTGTGTCTGAGGAATCTCAGAAAAAAAGGACAAGCTGAGAGCAGGGTCTGGGCTGGGTGGATTTGCTCCAGACCCACCTTTTTAAAAGTACACTTCGGCGTGGCTGCTGCATCACACCTTTCTGAATTAAATCCTTGCTTAAAAAAATGGTATATGTGCGAGGATCATTCAGTATGAAGTGGGGCGAGGGTAGGGATTGTGTCTTCAGCACTGCGTCATAGAAATATGTTGTCCAGAGAGAGCCTCCCTGCTAGGCAGGGACCCATCACATGGGTGTCCCCTCTCTCCTTCTGAGAATTTTAGGAAAATGACTCATCGGGGTCCTCTGCTTCTGCAGTGATAACTCACACAGACTATTTCATTGCAATGTTCACATGTTCTTTTACTAATTGGTCTGTTCTTCCCTCAACAGAAATGCCCTCAACGAGTAACGGTGAAAGCAGTAAACAGGAGACCATGCAGAAGACCTGTAAGAATAGTGACATTGAAAAGTGAGTGTAAAATGGATAGCTTTGATTTTTTTCTTGTTTTAAGGAGCCGTAATGTCCCATCTACTGCTGTTCCCAGAAGCAGTGCTGGCCTGAGGATAGGCATATTTGAACCTTTTACCACTGAGAAGGGAAGTTGTACGCTAACATAAAGCCTGGACCTGAAGCTGTCAGCGTCCTGATTTGCCGCTGCTGTGTCTGCAGAGTGCCTGTGGGGAGTTCTCCCCAGATACCTGTGTGGGCAGGTACCCAGCAATGAGGAACTGAGTGCAGATTCCAAAGGGCTTCTTCGCTGCAAATTGCCTTTTTTTAAAGTGTGTAAATAGACATATCCGTGCTTTTCACCATATTCTAGTTACGGTACGTTTTCAAATAAGTTGTGTGGTGCGTAACAGCCTAGACTAGAGCTGGGACTTTGGATGGGAGGTGGAGGTTCAAATCCACTTTAACCTGACAAAAGCAAGTGACTTGTCAAGCTGTGCTTTGATTTTTTTTTTGTTTTTTTGATGCACTCTGCAAGAATTCTGCTATCAATGTATCATGGGATCCTCCTTTTACTAGAGAAGTTACCTTATCATTGGTTGCATCTTGGTTTTTGAGGGCAGTCCTTCACATAGTTTATGTTTTCTCCATGGTACCTGCATGTTCCATCTCTCAGCAAAAGGGAGTTCCAGCAGCCCGTAACTTGGTAGAAGCCTCACTGAGAGAGTTTCTTTTCCCTTAAGATGGAGGTTTCACATTTGTGTGGTTGCTGATAGAAGTAATATCTCAATTCCTGATTTTTTTTTTTACCTGCAGCCCTTCCAGTTGATTAAGAAGTTTAAGTCCCAGTGTTTGAATATACAGTAGAGCAGGAGCTCCTGGCTATCTCCTTTCCTGTCCTCTTCTGCTTGCTGAATATCCTGCAGCCTAGTCTGGGATGGAAACAAATGGTTTTATCTGTACTGTGCATTTGAATAACGGCCTCTATCCTCAGCCTCCTTCTGCACACTACTAGGGTGACTTACTGCTCAGACACGTTTGTCGATCTGAGCCTGAAACTGCAGGCTCTTCACTGCTGCCTTGGGATAGGGCAGTGTTTTAGGCTGATCATTGCCTGATGAAGAATATTTTCCCCAAGATCAAGTGAGAGACAAAACACCTTGAATGAGGTGAAAGCAATGAGATCATTGTGGCTTTTAAACAGACGACATTTACATTTTGGGGATAAGATCCATTGATAATTTGGTGATAGTGTTAGGGTGACTTTACAGAAAGGTGGGGTTTTTTCATGTAGTTCATTCTCCTCCTACCCCTGGTGCTGACTTGAGAGGTTGCATCCCTGGCACATTTCGGGATCTCTGACAGTTCAGGCAGCCTGGCAAAAAGTGTGTGTTCACAGTCGGATTAACGGGGGAAGCTCCCTGCTGCAGAGAAAACTTTAACCCTGATTTGCTGTCTCAGCGTTTCCCTTTTTACAAGGCTTTTTATTAGCAAATGTGGGCTGTCTGCTGCGCGATGCTTGTCAGTGAGCGGATTTTGGCCAAGGACTGCTGAGTCGGGGAGCTCGCAGGTCGGTGCAGAAGCAGCTTTGTCCTTAGAGTGAGCCAACCGTGGCATGCTGTCTTGGTGGCAAGCACTCATCCCTTCTACCCTAATCTGTCAGCCTCTGTCTCAGCTGCTGCTTGGCTTCCCTTTGGGCCTCCTGCCTGTCAGCGCAGCAGCTCTTCTCCCTCCCAGATCCACTCCTATTGAAAACCTTTAAACTGCAGGAGCTGAAAGGATTTGACATTTTCCAGAACACTTGAGCTCAAGTGATAAAATTGACATAGCTTTAATAATCTGATCAAAGAGGCTTTAGCTAGCACCTTTTGAAGGATCCCAGAATCCTTTCCAAACAACACTTGTGCTAACGCCGCTGTGAAGTGGGGAAGCGCGTGCGTGTGTGTGTGTGCACGCGTATGCATGCACGCCTTGCTCTGCAATAAGCTTGCCCCCTCTAAAGCTTTGGTCCTGCAAAAGGTGTGAAAAGCCAGCAAAACCCATAAGAAATTACAGGAAAAGCCTTAAGTGTCTTACTGAGTCTTTCCAATAATGCTGATATTTTGAAAGTAGCGAGAACAGCGTTTTATTTAGGGTGCTTTATTTCACTGAGATTGAGAAAACAAGACAGTGTTTCAGGTGAAAAATTCCTAGCTGCTTTTTTTTTTCCTTCTTCTTCTTCTTCTTTCCTTTGAGATTTGTGTGTGATAAATAGTTTCTGTCCTGCCATTTAAGGAGTCTTGAATGCTCTGTGTGCTTGTCTGTGTAGAGGGGTTCTGTTAAATTAATTGATAACAGAGATCAGAGCTAGAAGCCTACAGAAAAGGAGGGGGAAGGGTGTCACACTGTCTGGCTGCTTCCCACTCCACTGCTGAGCCATGATATATGGCGACCCAGCCCAACAGGCTAAATTGATTCATCTCGAGTTCCTGTTTCTTAATCTGGAGCTAAATTGGTTTCATTTTTCTTGTTTTGGGCGGTGCTTACAAGAAGTTTTTGGCAGCATCGCTTTACTCCATTGTTTGTAACTTTAATTTTTGCCTTTAAATCTGAGTGTTATTGATTGGCATGTTAAACCCCATGTAGCATCTGATTAGCATTTTTAAAATTGTCCAGAAGCACATGGCTTACCACCTGTGTCAGCCGTGCTCTCCCTTTAGCGTGGTGGCTAATAGAATTAGCAGTGATCCATGTATCGATCCTCTCTCCTAAGAATGATGTTCCTTCCCCCTCCCCTCTTCCAAAAATAAGTCTAGGCAAGGAGAGCAGCGTGGTTTTGTTTGTTTGTTTGTTAATCCATTAATACAGTACAGCAGGCAGTCCTCCTTTTGGCATGTAGCTGAAGCTCTTTGCTTCAGCAAGTTAATTTAATCTAAACTTAGGTTTTCATGGAAGAGTCCCTTGCATATCACAGAATCACAGAATGTTCGGGGTTGGAAGGGACCTCTGAAGATCATCTAGTCCAACCTTCATCCCAGCACACCTAACCACTACACCACAGCCTCAAGTGCTAGATCTACTTTTTTTTAAACACCTCCAGGATTGGTGACTCCACCACCTCCCTGGGCAGCCTGTTCCCGTGCTTCACCAGTCGTTCAGTAAAGACCCCGAATACCAAATCTAAACTTACCCTGACGCAACTTGAGGCCATTTCCCCTTGTCCTGTCATTAGTAATTAGAGAGAAGAGACCAGCCCCAGCCTCACTACAGCCTCCTTTTAGGTAGTTGTAGAGGGCAATAAGGTCTCCTCTCAGCCTCCTCTTCTCCAGACGACTAAGACAGGGTTTGGGGCAAGTCTGGTTTTGTTGCCCAGATCCTTGCACCATGCCAGGTCATCCGTAGCTGGGGCAGGCTGACCTCATCTGCATTGTGTTGAACTGGAGATGGCAGCCCCAGGTGGTGAGAGACGTGCTGGTCCCAGCTGTCCTGCGCAGCCCCGCCAGGTAGCTCAGGCAGGTTTCTCACTGTTGACCTCATCTGTGTTGCACTGAGCTTCGGATGGCAGCCACAAGGAATGAGAGGTGGCACTGGTCCCACCTTCCCTTCCTAGCACTGCGAGGTGTCTCAGCCCTGCTGAGCTTTTCTCATCTCAACACGAAGTATCTTGGAGACGCCCTGGGCTGCTGAAGGATCGTGGGGAGAAGCAGAAGAGCATCACACCAGCGGAGCTCCTCTACCTCTGCTCAAGATGCAGTTTTCTCAGGGAGAGCAGCCGGTCCCTGATTGCCCAGACATCCTCCTCAGCTCCTCCACCATCGTGCTCGGTCCAAGTCCTGTTGTGCACAGAGAGAGCTACAAAAGGCACCTTCCCCGCCAAATGCTTTTCTCTCCCCTCCCTCCTGAGATGCCGCCTGCAAGGGTCTGGTGCCGTTTTGAAACCGAGGTTCCCCGGGGTTAAAAGCCAGCATCTTAATTCAGAGTGCCAATGTTCAATTTTGCTTTCTGCCACCAGACTAGATTGCAGGCCAGCGAGAGAGTCTGGGTTAGTGGCCCACTGGGTCACCTCCCATTTGTTTTCCTCAATTTTGTGTTGTCATAAATTCATTCCAGCCCGTTGTGGTTGATCAGTTTATCTCCGCCGGGGCAGGGAGCGCTGCAAGCATGATATATGGCACAGAGCATTGTAGCCAGCCTCTCCATGAATCACTCCAGCTGTTTGGTGTCAGCCCCAAAGCAAACAGGACCCGGCCGCTGAGCGTTGACTACGATGAGCTCAGTATGGGAAGAGACATGACGTATGAATGTTTATTTAATAATTCTCTAATATTTCCAGCAGAGTGTGGCTGTGCCTTCTGGGGAGGGAGGGGGGAAGGGTTGAAGAGGGAAACTCTAATCTGTTGGGGTGGGTCATAAATCAGGCAGACAACATCATTAATCAGGGATGGGACAGAAGTGGAAGGAGGTGGGACTGGAGCTGCCATCCTTGGTGGGAAGGGGGCTGTGCTGCTTTTTTTTTTTTTTTTGTAAAACAAGTCTTGTTTCTGATTCCACTTGGCCCCAGCCCTGCTGCCTGCATAATAGCAAACCCGGACACAAGGCTGTTTAAGTGAGTATGCTACCTCCACTATAAACCTTGCAATACGAGCCTGCCAAGCATTAAATCCCTTTATAATTATCTTCTTTATATAACACTTCATGCTTTTCATGCTTCATTGGGTGAGACGCTTGTTGGGTTAAAAAGAGGGGTTTAGAGGCAAGAAGCAGTTGCATTTGTTTTATTTTTTCCTGCCTCCTCTTTCCTCCGCCTTCCCACCCCTCCACATCACCTCTTTCCAATCCAACTGTTCCAAACACATCAGCTCCAGAGGAGCCAGGAAGGAGCATCAGTTAAAATTAAACAAAGTTTAGCTTGGGGTCCTTGTGCAAAGAGTCAAGCGTGTGAGAGCGGTCGGGGAGGTAGCAGTGTCTGTCGCGGGGACCCTGCTCCTGGGTCGAGACGGGAGCAGAGTGCGTGTGAAGCCAGAGGATTAGCAGAGACCTGA